TTTTTTTTTTTTTTTAATTTTTTTTTTTTCAACGTTTATTTCTTTTTGGGACAGAGAGAGACAGAGCATGAACGGGGGAGGGGCAGAGAGAGAGGGAGACACAGAATCGGAAACAGGCTCCAGGCTCTGAGCCATCAGCCCAGAGCCCGACGCGGGGCTCGAACTCACGGACCGCGAGATCGTGACCTGGCTGAAGTCGGACGCTTAACCGACTGCGCCACCCAGGCGCCCCTAACACAGTGAGTTTTAACAAATATGTTGTAGAATGAAAAATGAGCTCTTTAAAAGCTTCCATTTTTTACCATGAATATTCCATAAAATGAAGATGGAATTTCTAACCATTTCTAAGAAGAACATAATCCACACACTCATTATTTAAAGCTGGTATCATTTGGATAGCAATAAAGTGATCATAAAGTAGAATAACTAAATTTAATAAACTGGTTGCCATTTACTGAATGCTTATCTAAGGAACACTATGCAAGAAGTGATCACTATAGAGGGAAAAAACTAGCATCAAGGAAAGGATGTTTAAGGAATATGTCTATCAATTATAAGTAAAATAAATGGCAGGAAAACTAGAGAGTTCATGGCCACCTATGAAACCACCTAGGAAAAATTTACTAATCACCAAGGTGTTGACTACAAAGGTGATTAAGATAGACAGACTTCATATATTTTTATTATTTAATTTATAAAAAAACATAAGCTAAAAAATAAACAGAAAATGCTTTATAATTTAAGCATGTAAATAATTTATGTGTCCTGAATATTAACCCAATATTTAGTTATAAATGAGTCTTATTATTTTTTTAATGTTTATTTATTCTTGAGAGAGAGAGAGAGAGAGAGAGTGTGTGTGGGGGGGGGCAAAGAGAGAGAAAGAAAGAGAGAGAGAGAGAGAGAGAGAGAGAGAGGATCTGAAGTGGGCTCTGTGCTGAGAGCAAAGAGCCCAATGTGGGGCTTAAACTCACGAATCAGGAGATCACGACCTGAGCCAAGTTGGACACTTAACTGACTGAGCCACCTAGGTGCCCTAAATGAGTCCTTCCCACCTATTATAACAATGACAGATATAAGAAACTTATTTTTTTTCAAGAAACTCTTAAGTGCCCATTTTGACATTTATTATGGACATTTGACATTGTCCAAAAAGGCACATGGTCTTTACAGATTACATATCAATACTATATTGAGAGTTTTTGTATTCTTTGCACATGAAGAATTCCATGGGTAAACATGAAAACTTCCCTACCTACATCTAAGAAATAAAATAATGTGGACCACACAGAATCATGAAAACTTCTGATAAGGTTTTATATCAAACTTCAGGTAAAAACAATTGAGTAATTATATTTGAAAAAAAACAAGCTAAACAATTTAAAAGAAACTTGAGAAGATTTCAGCAGCTTGTCTCTAGGAGAAAAATTCATTTTTCATACAATGAGCATTTTTAAAAGACATCAGCATCTTTAAAATTGTGATGGTTTAATATGTACTTGTAGAACTCAAGAAAATATTTATAACATAATCATGAGTACCCACAGAAACATCATTAAGATATTGCTAATATCAGACATTAATTATCCTAAAATTTGTTAGCACAAAACATTTTATTTCAAAGTCTTGAAGAAAATGAGGTTTTGTAAAATAACAGTATGGAAACAAATGGAAGGTCAAATATTTGATATATTTTGAAACTATAGCATTTTAATGTTTGTTTATTTTGAGAGAGTGAGCAACAGAGGGGAAGAGAGACAGGGAGAGAGAGAGAGTCCCAAGCAGACTGTATTGTCCACACACAGAGCCCAACACAGAGACCATGAGATCCTGACCTGAGCTAAAATCAAAGAGTTGTACATCCATCCAACTGAGCCACCCAGGCATTCTGAGACTAAAGCATTTTAAAATCCAAGATCATGGGTGCCTGGGTGGCTCACTCAGTTAAACATCCGACTCCTGGTTTGGCTCAGGTCATGATTTCATGGTCTGTAGGTTCGAGCCCAACATCAGGCTCCACAGCTGGCACAGCAGAACGTGCTTGGGATACTCTCTGCCCCTCCCCTGCTTGTGCTCTGTCTCTCTCAAAATAAATAAACTTAAAAAAAATTACCCAAGATCAAATACTTTTTTAATGAATTAAAACTCTTTCAGGTTGATAATGATCATCTATTTACTTATTAATTCAAAATATTTTAACACTAGCTGCTTATGAGCAATTATGCCACATACTACCAATAAAAATATGAATGAATAAAGAAACGGCCCCTGCCCTCAAGGGCTCACAGTGTAATACAGAACAAATATACTATTAGATCATTTAAAATGGCTCTCTAAATGATCTGATGGTGCTACACTACTGAGAGGGATGGAAGGACATTGGGAAGAGGACACTATACAGCACAGAGAAGGGAGATGAGAGCTAGGACTGCAAAGTAGCAGGCAGGTAGGCAGGAGGGGATGTGCTATGTTGATGAGCTCTACCTTCATCCTCTAGGAAAAAGAACAAAGTTTTTCCAGAAAAGTAATAGAAATTGCATTTTACCTTACAGATAGAAAGCTATGAAGGAAAATGGTTCTGAGGGCAGACAATACTGGAGGAAAAGCAATTAAGATTTGGGGTTCTAAGAATGACAGATATCAATTATACTCATTAAACCAAAAATGTATTTTTTAGGTGTCTAACAGAGAAATCAATAACAGCAAGTTTTTTGAGATGAGAGAATCAAATCATTTTCAAATAGTTTTACATCTTTCCTTCTAGTCTGTATGCCTTCTATTTTTTTTTTTTTTTTTTTT